ATCCGCCGAAACGTCAGCTCATTTGTGAATAAAGAATAATAACACCTCGCGTTTGCTCAACAAAAATACGAAGAATTACACGTCTGTAGATTTATTACTTCGATACTGTGTGTACTCAACATGTTCATCTCGCAAAGCACTTGGCTATTAATGCAAACTGTAGTTTTAGGTATGCTGATTTAATTCTGATTATGCTTCTAATGCATCGTTAATCGTCTTGTAGATTACAGTGTAGTTGCTGATGGTTGAAAGTGGTATTTGAAGTTGTGCTGCTGTTAAATTTGGTCTAGTTTTTCTTCAGCAATGTTATTTGGGTGCGCACAAACGTTGTAGAGCGAAAGATGTTTGTGTAAAACATTCGCGTTATTATTTAGTATTAGTATTAGTTCCATTTCAAGGCGTGCTAATCCTTTATTATTCCAAGACCATTCTTTGCGAGACACGTTAGTTGTGATGTTTGCGACAGCTGGTCTTTGGAGCGATTCGTTTTCTTTTCTTTGTTGCGTTCAATGCCTGACCGGTATGAGTTCTGAATTTCTGAATTGTTCATTTATAGTTATAATTAGATTACCACCCAGAGGGTAGCATTACAGTCAGATCAGTCGTAAGTTTTATTCTGCTCTAAGCCAAATGCTTGTTGGTGTTGGAAGCTCAGTATTAACTTATTGATTGGACAGTGACTTTCCCCGGTTTGGCTTGTGAATTCCGCACAAATGAATAGCTCGTTTAAGAAAGGATTTCAGTGTAAGCTTTCTCTTATTGCTTCTTAAACAGGTACTGGGAATACCCTCTTCCTCCGAGAAGTATTTTGATTGAGCGGTATGTTTGAGGAGGCGTCATAAGCTCTCTTTATTCGCTTTTACACGTAATTAATGGGCTTTAGCACTGCAATATAAATTAGTAGTAAATATTAGACCTTTCCAAATATTCTAATGGTTTTCACAACCATTCTTAATAGCCAAACGCCAACGTTAATCTCAGTTCAAAGTGAAGTGTGCTCATCATAATTAACATAACCTGCCAAAGATATTCCTCATAGAAGGCTCTCGTGCCGGTTAGTTGCGAGGCAACGTGGCGCGTTCCCCAATGGCGGATAGGAGGTTAATGCAGACCAAATCCTTTGCTTCCCAGGGACACAGGCGGACCCAGGGAATTGACTCTCCGTTTCTGCTGTGCCGTTTTAGTACGTTCTGTATTTACGAGGGCGTATTCATGCATGCATGTGATGGTATATTCTCGTTTATGCGGATTGTATTCAACGAGTCAACTGGCAAGCTACAAGCTACTCCTGTGTATACCCAATCTACACATTCGGAGCTCAGCAAACTATACGTGAGTATCAAAAAGCCAAGGAGTAAAACAAATGGGTCTCATTCCTCTGACTCCGAAAGAGCGTCTGATTCGCCAGCGTTGAGTAGGACGAATAAGGAGAGGCTGCTAAAATCTGAGGGCCATTCTTGCCTAAATCGAGAACGCCTAAGGTGACGATGTGTATTTACAATGCGCACCTACTTGCATCGGAGTCTTCGATAAAAGATTTGATCATGCATGCCGGAAACATAAGGTACGGCGTCATCGGATTGGCTGAGACGAGGCGGCGCCACCCATTCAACGCCGTCAACGACACAGGGGAGAACTGTTCCTCCGAACATGCGACAGTAGAGGATTCGGCGGCTTCGGCGTTCTCGTTAACACGGGTTTGCCAATGAATATTAATTCATTCGAACAACTAACAACCTGGATCGGACGTTTCGTCGTTTACGCACAGATATAAAGCTATAGAAGAAGTCGGGGAGCATTCTATATGTACTTGGAGAAGTTCTAGAGAGAGGATCGTGTGAGCTAGAAAAACGTCACATTAGTGCGCACGGATTAGAATGGAATGAGCATTATGAGCGGCAGTCTGAGTTTATCATGAGGAGCAAGACTACTCATGGTAACTCGCATTCCAGAAGACCCATTCTCAACGCCAGAAGTGGGAGTCTCCCATTGGAGAGTAACTTGACGAAATACATCACATAGTAAATCGAAGGTTTTGCCTAACCCGATTTTGCTACTATCTCAAAATTCTACGCAGTGTCAGACCATCATCTCCTTGCAGGACTCCATTTCTCGCGGAAAGGAGAAAAGCCGCTAAATTCAAAAAATGATTTTCCAAAAATCACCATAAGCTGATATTTATTCAGTTCATGTTTCTGTTGGGAAGATGCCGTTGTCTATAACATCGGCGAGGATACGATCGGCTCATTCAACATCTTCACAATAGCGCTATGAAAGCTTGTAGTTCGATGGTCACCAAGGGACTCCTGGCTCCAGAAACACCTGAGCTAATACACCAATGTGGATTTGCATGATCTGCGGGCAACCGCCAAATCACGTCCGAACTTGCAAAACAATGCAGACAGGCGATAAAAAAAAATCTTAAAGAGAGAAGAGCAGCAGTTATGGTCGAAGCTGCAGAGGTTGGGAAAGGCACTGGCAAAGCCCACCGAAGCTTCGCCAATTGCTAAATCAAGATGATTGCTCTCCAACATCCAAGTGGAACAGCTTCCAGAAAGGCAATGGACAAAACCATTCACGATTACTACTCAGATGTTTTTAATAGCCACTTCCTCCTCTCATATGAAATAAAGGAGGATGGATATGTCGTACTGCCGGTTTTCCCTTCCAAAATTGGTCATGCTATTTCGTCGGTGAAAAATCGAACAGTACCAGGTCCGGAGAAGATATGATCTGAACACCTGAAGAACGTTCGCCAGTTCTAGTAAACACACTGGCCCGGCTCCTCACACGTTACCTTTCTGAATACAAGGTCCCTACTCAGTGGAAAGCCAGCAAGACAGTGCTGTTGTTCAAGAATGGTGATCTCTACATCGGCAGCTATCGCTGAATCTGCTTACTGTCTGTTGTCTGCAAACTTTTCACTCGAGTCATCCTAAATAGAACTGACAGAACACTAAGTGAAAAACAGCCATGTAAGCAAGGAAGCTTTCGCAAAAGGATTCAGTTCGATAGAAAACATCCACACGTTAACAAGAAGTGCTATCATCGACATCAGAGAAGGGGTTAGATATGGCGATACTATCTAGTCAGTGTTATTCACCGCCGTCGTCAAGAACGTTATGCGAGCACTGGAATGGAACAACATAAGAATGGAAATCTATGGTTGCCAATTACACCATCTTCGCTTTGTTGATGAAACCGTTCTTATGACACCAAACATCAGCCAGGAGGAATGAATGCTTGCAGACTTTGATTAAGCCTGTGAGAAAATAGGTTTTCGACTAGGTCTTACAGAAACGATGTTCATTCGCAGCGCATTGATTACTTATAACCCATTCACGCTCAACGGAATAAATGTCTCCGAAAGCTTCAGTTATCTATCTAGGTCAGGAAATCAACTTGATGAACGACTTAGTTTCTGAGGTGTGCAGTAGGAAACGAGCAGCTTGTGTAGCTTTCAGCAGCATCGGCGATGAAGTGAGGTGAACAAAGCACACCTATTTCCTCTGTGCCCACCTTTTCGACTCTACGATTCTTCCTGAGTTAACATATACATCAGAAGCCTGATCGTTGCTTAAACAGGATGAAAGGTCAATCATCGTTATTAAACTCGCAGTCGGACGTTGATAGCAGTATCCCGTGTCACATAAGTGACGGAAGGGATCCGAAGCTCCAACCTGCGTCAACAATCAAAGATCAAAGATGCCGTTCTATGCGCCAAACTGTCGAAGATAAGATGGGCTGGATGCGTAATGCGTACGAATGACAACCGATGGACAAGATCCTTTAGTGACTGGTTTCCTCGGGATGTCACACGTTCTGCAAGACCACCGACTCTATGGTAAGAGTTTTTCATGAGGAGCCTAGCAGAAAGGTATGGTACTCAAAGAGTTCCTTGAGCGAGTGGAACCTGCTGAGCTATTCTTGCACGCAGTTGAGAAAAATGGAAGATTTATGGGTTTACGCTCGTGTCACTCCACGATCATTGTTTTCGTAAATGTACAAATGCAGCGTTGTAGATTTGAAGAGATTGGGATTTTGAAACATATTTTCGCCAATACCTTTTTAAGTTTTTTGCGTGCAGTTCGTAAAATCTTTGCTTTCCACTGGTTGCTTATTGTATACTAGTGATGACGTCAAAGATGTTTCACTTCGTCATGGTGCTGATTTATGCAGTGGGTTCAAGTAAACACCGTTTGTTGTATTAAAAAATACCTCATCATGTGATGTTCGAGTTAAATGTTGCAACGATTAGTTTCTAGATAGCGGCTGCAGTTGCTCAGCATGTTGCAGCTCACATTGTTAATGCCACGCCTGTACCTGCACCCGTAGCAGCACCAATGCCACCAGCGTTAAATCAGGTGATCTTGGACTTTCTGAAGTTTTTTCGCTTTCTTTCTTTTCTTTATTAGCACCAACTCCACCCTTCCGCGAATTTAAGCAATTTAGGCGGCCAACATAAGTGGTATAAATTGCTTGTATGTGTAAAACTATCTTGCGGCCCTTTCGATAACGATAAGCCTAAGCTTGTTGTGAAACAAGAACAGTTTTGAACAACGTTTTGGGTCTACCAAATTTCTTCGTAGTCATACCAGTGCTCATTAAAAAAGAACTAGTCTTGCACCCACTATTTGTAGAAGTATTCTTTTCTTGAGCAATATTACATATGCGCACATATGTATGAGTACATATACGTACATATATATGTATATATATATATACATACATATATGTGAACATATACATATATACGTATGCGTATATGTACATATCTACGTCTGTGTGCATATATATATATATATTTATTTATTTATGTACATATATACATTTATATAAGAAATTGTGCATATCTTATTGTTTTTTTGTGATTTAAAATAATCACTTTTATTTCCATACATCGATCTACCAGTATGCCAATAATATCTATTATGTCATTTCCGATGAAAGTGCTGCAGAAAATGAATTGGACCCATGCTACTCTTGTTCATCGTGTTTTTATCTCCTTTTGGACTTTTTTCCTTTATCGTTGACGAGAATAAATTATTAACATTAGCACAGATGAAGATGGATCCTTTTCCAATAATCTTGTTTTTTTTGCTTGTGCCTTTGATAATGCTTTAATCCAAAAGAAAAACGGTGTTGCATTTTCATTTTGTCTCGTGAGAACCGTTTTCCTAATGTTGGATCCATGAAATACGGTTTTGTTATATGACGTCAATTCTTATTCACGAAAAGTAGTCCAGCTGCAGTATAGATTCGAAATCTCTGTTACTTTGCTTGAGTAGGAAAATTCGTTCCCCTCCGGGCTATCAGTGCCTGTCATTGCTGGCCCTCGTTCATGGAAGAATTGTTGAAGACATTAACGACTATCGTCATTAGGTATATTACGATCACCATCTGATATTTGCTATAAAGCATTGCAACAGTGTGAGAACTCTGCATTTTCAGCCCACTATCTTAACTCCTGCTCCAGCTAGCTCACTGCTGTTAACACCTTCACTCAATCCCATCCCACCAATGACGGACATGGTCACAATTCCCAGAGAGGTCCATATGGAATATTTTTTAGAATTTTTATCGCCATTATTTTCGTCTGCGAATTTTTTTTATTTACTGATATGAAGCACACATGCTGAAAGGGGTTATAAATACTCATTTTACTTTAGGTTTTGGTAAAGCTCATTGAAAACAACCCACCTCGTGTTAATTGTACCTGCCAATGTTCTTGCGGTCGGTATCCACCTGGTTGTGCAATTGTTGATGAGGTTAGTGAGGTGAAGAGGACTTCGAGCATCTATGCAATCAAAGTAAAAGTGAGAAAAAAAAGGGCAGATAAAGTCTCTCAGACATTATATGGAAATCTTTTACCTTTATGGAGTACTCTCCTATGTTTTAGTTACTATTCTTCACTACTGTAATCAAAAATGGACACTTAGTCATAAATAGGGATGTAGTAATATTCATAAATTACCTGTATGTAACTTCTGTGATGCTGAGATATTTGCAAAAGTCCGGACCGCAGGTGTCTGCGGTGGCGAACAAACGTGCTATTACCCTTTCCGAGGCTAACACGTTCACCACCACACCATGCAGTTCCTTCGTTTCGCATGTCTTTCAGTTAGTTATAGCGATCAACGCCATCAGCTATCACACCGTCAACGGGATTGATCTAGGGAGCCCAAATCGGCAACGAACCTAGTTAGGCTGTGGCCGTAGTCATAATCATAATCTTAACCTTTTATTTACTGCCTATTCTTTTTAATGACAGGGTATATTGCGAAATATAACTTCTATAATGCTGAGATATTTGCAAAACTCCGGATCGCAGGTGGGGAACGAACGCGTTATTGCCCTTTCTGAGGGCTATATTTCGCAATACACCCTGCAATTAAAAAGAATGGGCGGTAAATAAAAAGGTTAAGATACCTGTATATAGTTTTTTCAGGTAACGAAAGATCTTTTGGCAGCTGGAAACAATGCGGCTAACACCGAGAGTAAAGAAGAATTGAAATTAGATAGCGCAGAGGACTTCCATGTGAGTTCTTCTAAAGACTTTTCCTCTTTTGTTTTATCGTCCACCATGCTATTAGATGAATGGATTGCTACCGTCCGACGAATCCAGTGTCCAATGGCTCAATTCATATGCGCCCACTGTTGATCCCAGCGCTGTTGTAGTAAGTTGTATGACGTGTATTACATCGGTATTATTCAGTGTTTTTTGCAAACTTGGTTTTGGTGACGAAATAAGTCAAATTGCTATGCTTAGGATGAAAAGCCTAGCAGTCGTCGAGATTCATTTTACACAAACTCAGGCATGGTGGAGTCGAGGATTAATTCTGTGCCCGGTACGTAGTCGCTACTCTGGCTCGTTATAGCTTTCAGGACGCAGTATTTTAGAAGTTGTCTTTGAGGGTTATTTCTTGTATAAGTTATAAGTTATATGTATAAGCAACTTGTATAAGTTTTTTTGATTTTCTACATCGGTATTCACAGAGTTCTTTTGGGGTTCTCATTAGTAGTTCTTCTATCAAACGTTTCAACGATAGTGTGTTTCTTGTACAAATTTTGTGAAATTATTCTTACGACTCTAAAAGCGAAGCGTATTTCATCGCTCTTTGTGTGTTTATTAAATAGTGACAAATATTATGATGTATCTAGGTTACCAACTGTATCAAAAGCTCGAAGGGTTTTCGAGGGCACAAAATGCTGTTTATAGTTGCTGCCCGTATTGAAACAATCTGATTTATTTCCTGATAAATATTATGCTGAAATTCCAGCATCAACAAATCTTAATGGTTTGACTCCATCGGACTATGTGTGTGTGAACGAAATACTCGGTGCAAACTTTGCTTACAGGACCGCTGATATGATGGATCAGTGAGTTTTTGATTTGAACCCCCATATCTTTAATTTCACATTATTCCCTGGAGATAAATCCTTTGGAATATTTAACTATCAGCGGCTTTTGAAGCCAATGCGTCGGAATAAAACCTGTGGTTTTCATTAAAACTGCTCGAATGTGAATCTATTAATCAATATTTTTTAGATGTCGTCACGATGATCTAAGTCTTCAGGTGATGAGTTTTACTGACGACAATGTGCGACGTTTCGTTCGGATGTTAAAGCGGCTGCCTTCATTTAATTTGTTTACCTTACATGACCAGTGTATTTTGATAAGGCGTAAGTTGTTGTAGTCAGTAGCAAAGGAATGGCTTTAGTCTTATGTTTACTGCAAATGGACTGAGATTAAACCTAATTTGTAACTGTTTTATATTCAGCAGTAATATGGTTTGTTTTCACCGTATATGAACTAGGTTTCCGTAGTACCAGGAAAAAAATTCGTTGGAAACGATTACATCTGGGTGGCTCCGGTTATCACAGTGGCTGTCAAGACGTTAAATTATTTGCTATACTCATTCTGCACTTAGATATTTCTTCTTGCAGATTCATGTGTACCGTATGCGATTTTACACGATGGGATCTCTTATACCTCGAGTGATCCAAGATTTATTGGGCATACCTTAGATGTACGGTTGTCTGACCTTTTACATCATTGCGTACGGTGAGGTTTCTGACTTGGACTCTTGGCTTTTGAGGCGCTGTTTTTATCTCAAGCTTAAATATTTTTTGAGCTTTTATCTTTGACTTTTAGCTTTTTTTTCAATTTTATTTCGAGCAATCTGTTTAGATTTTACTTGTCATTCAAAGAAGAGTTGAGAAATAACGAAAATGTTATGCTTATACTCGGATTGTTGGTCGTATTTGATTTGGAAGACGTTGGCTTACAAGACAGAGATGGTCTGACAAGGCAGTACTCCTTCTTTAGCTCGCTTCTGCAGAGGTATGAAGTTCAGTTTAATTCGCTCTTCTTTATAACACGCATCTTAGTGTTTTTTCTAGAAAACATCATTTTTCCTTACGAAAACCGCAATAGCTAATTCGACGACGTTTTGATATAGCGAACTAGGACGTAACTGTGTCCATATTTTCCAAATTTGTTCCTGTTGTAATTAAACTTACGGTTCATTTATTTTCACATCTCTCTCTCTCACCATTATAGCATTCTCAGTTTTTGGATTCAATCAGAAAACTTTCATTTACATCTCTACTTTTTGCTTTCCAAATGTTTGCCATGTTTTAGAACTGTTTCAAAGTAACTACATGATGTGGCTGCACTTCTGTTTGTGCCAATGAATTTTCTTGGTAGATAAGATTATTTCGTTACGTGATCTTTTGTTACATTTTATCCAAAAAAAATTGGCGGAAGGCTTCTCGTATTCACCATAACTACCGAAAATGCTAATGGGGCGGAGTTTTCGCTTTCTTTTACAAGTTCTGATTTATAAATGGATAGCTCAAGTTTTTTTTCTTATTGTTCATTATCCAATAGAAATTGCTATTAATTTGCAGTGTTTTAAGAAGGGACACTTGTAGCAGACCGGTTAGAGGCGCCATGGAATACTCATGGGTCCGATCCCGCACTCTGAGTCATCAATCCTTACATGCCTTCAGGGTTGACAAATTGGTGCCATACCTGTATGGGAGGATAGCTGCACTGCATAGATGCATCGCTAGGCCACCACGAGTCATTATAAACGCCAGATATGCATTCAGTCACCTCCAAACGATGCTTAATGAAGTTGAATGAATCCCTCAGGGAATGGTCAATGCCGAGAGCTTTATCATTCTATCCTTTATTTTCCAGACTTCTCTATTCCTTAAGTGGCAACGATGCTGTGCGTGCTTCTGTGGACTATCGTCATCTTTTGGATCGATTGAGTGCGCTAAGTGATGTAGCAAATTACGCTGACACAATGACAAGTGAGCTCGCCAGGACGGATGTCGAATCTCTCTTACATGAGTGCTTTGAATGATCTTTAAAAAAATGAGATTTCATATCGTCTTCACCATTTTGCTTTTTTTTTGAAATAATAATTAATATTGGACATACTTCGTTTCTTAGCCTTCACTTATATTGACCACATATTTTGTGTCATTAAATATAGTTTCAACTCTTCAGAATGCCTGTTTGAGAAAACAGTGCCTCACTTATATTCGATATGTCTTAATTTATTAAATGTTGAGTAAGTGTGCATAACATATTTATACCGTTAAAATGATGTGCTTTTTGTGTTATTTGTTATTCTTCGAGTCTTACATTCTTAATAATTACGGGGTTGTAACATGTAATTGTTGTCTGCTTACGTTCCATTACGTTTGTCTCTGCTCATAGTAGAAATGTCATAGGTATCATGTAAATTACTGTATTAATTTAGGCAAAGTCACACGCGCTTCTGCTTAGTGTTTATGTTTATAGTTGTCTTGATATGATAGAGTTGTAATGCAAAATCTCTATACACAAATGTAATGTTGTTAATCATGAACGGAGAACTGAGAAAGGCATCTGTTGTTGTTAGTGACCGATTGAATTCGTAGATTATTTGTTATCCACTTATGAATCCACTCGTCTCTGCGAGCTGTTCAGAACTACCACAATCATTCAGGTGTCTGACGGCAATTCTTTCCATGCGTGTGGTGTTTGTCTGTCTGTTTTATTATTATGGAGAGATCTTCTGTTGAATTCGTCTATACAGAGCATATATATTGCAGTGGGAAATTATATGTGCATATATATGTATATATATATATATATATATGCTGTCGTCTAATTTCCTGTTGTTCTTGTTGTATTCTTCGGTATGTCGCTAGATTGTATCAGTTTTTGCCAAGCAGATAAAGTACATATGTGCTTATCGTCACCGTGAATGTGAAAGTTGTTCCATATAGAAAAAATCAATGGAAAAGTACTTGTACATAACTTTTAGTGAACATTATTGGCTGCTATCTAAAACTTTTGGTATGTAAAGACTTCTGAGGCTATTGCACAACTTTTCTTATTCATGAGTGGTAAAAATATGGTTTCCGGGTCCTACAGAACATTCCTTTCGCGTTCTTTTTTCTGTCGTGTCTCGTATGTCAACATCCCAGCAACTGAATGTCGGAACATCTCAGAATTGGACAGTATGGTGTGCTCCAGTAATACTTGCGCCTACTCTGCTTGTATTAAAAACTGTGGATACTTCAATTATCGAAAAGTTGTTCTTTACTGACAAAAAATTGAGTCCACGAAGGGTGAGAATTATGTGTCGTCGCGAAAGTGTACATTAGTATTTCGAACCGTTTCGATGCACTACGTGCTAGTTTTAATTCGTAGCAATAGATCCGTCCAGATTTCTGTTTCGACACCTGAAATTCTAACCATTGAAATTCGTCAAGAACACATTTTATGCTATGTTTCAATCAAAAGGGGCGCAAGTGCATAGAATGAGCTCTGCGTTGATATGTACTAGTACAGTGTTCCAAAGGGAATATTGCTAAAAAAAAAAAAGGCGCGGTGGTCGGAGGCGCCCAGCAACACGCACGTGGAATCGATTCCTGTGCCCATGGCCCACCAATACCAGAATTGTCTGGAAGGATAACAGCACTGGCCCGACATCGGTAGGCCGCTACGATTCATTGTAAGGGCCATATATGCATTCATTCACCTTCAAACGATTCTTAATGATGTCGAATGCATGGCACATCTCTCAGTGCTTGATCAACGCCTAGAGCTTTATCCTTCTATCCTTTTATTATTAAAAAGTATAGCAGAAAAGTAAAATTACGAGTTCTACAGCAATTTCTGAAAGACCTTATACAGTGTTCGAGCTCAGTTTTCCTTATGTGTTGGAATTCTTTGTGTTGTCCTGTTGTCCTGCTTTTCTATTGTGCAGTTTACTAACTAGCGTCATTTCGACATTCTGTTTAGTCTTCTTGACGAGTACTTAAAGTCTTTGTCATGTTGTTGATAAAAGCCTCGAAAATAATAACAAGTTCAACAAAGGTTGGACTGGATTTGTGAAAATCCCAGATGATTTTATCAGCATGCTTAAAATTGTCACAACTACATATCAGATCGATTGAATTGAGGAATTCATCTCGCCTTCTTAACCTCTGTTTTTCTCAGTTTTTCTCACATATTACTTACTTGGATACTTGGTTGGTCCGTCCTCACTGTTTGTTCGGGCTCCAGCACAATCTCCATTTTTCGGAGCTTTGCTGCTTTAGCCATTGTGGTTCTCTGGAGTCCCGATGTCAGCGAGACCTGCGTATGCCCTTGTCGTCACCACCACAGGAAGTGCGCTCTTACGGATAAGAGGGAGATTTGCCACCATACGACTAGTTTGGTACCAGGGCGGTGGTGGATCGTCGTATTGGTTTACTCTTAGCTGGGCTTTCTGGTGTAAACGCTGGACTTCTTGTCATTGTCATCGTTGTATCCTACCAGAGGGATGAATTCTCCCGCTATACATCGCAGTCCCACACCCAGGAACACCCAGCAACGTTGAGGCAGTAAACAGTTAGGAGCTTTCTTATGTAAAAAAATAAATGAGTAATCAATTAAATCTTTCTTGCTGTCTTGAATCTCTTGAACAGATAAAAAGCTAGTATTTAGGAGGCCTGGTGCGTGGTGCCCAGGTGATTGCTAAGGGTTTAAGCGTGGACCGAAACGACTTAAATTTTCTTTTAGTGCTCTAACTTGGCGATTCAGGTTGGAACAAGTACAGAAATTCTGCTGAAATCCTAGGATTGTCAAAGTGCTCTCAAGATTTCCGAGGTATCCAGTTTTGGGATGACTTTGGCGAGGATCTATACATACAGCACACGCCAGGATGTGTCTGGCATGGAGGACTGTTGAACGTTAAGACATTAGATATGGAATTATCGTTGCGAATAAGATGCCGCTCCTTATACGTCGTTTGTGATACCAGTAGTCGTATACTGGAAGCATATGCAATATGAGAGTGCCTTCATAAAGAAAGTGTGACAAAAAATTTTTTAACCGATCTAAATTTTGCTCTATACTTGAAAAGACTTGAACTAATACCATCATCATCTCCTACTTCTCATTGACGATCTGTGACGATAATTAGTAAGGGGTATGTTGTGTAGGCCTTAAAAAGACCGCACCTACGAAGTTGTTACTGCCGAATTTAATGTTAATTTTGATCTTCGTGTAACCGCGAGCTGATATGGTACGAAGAGATTAATAGAAATCACAGTTCATCATAACATAACAGGCCATGGTTGCTCATAATTCCAAAAATCCTTCGTCGGCAATGGATGAGGGGACTTCGAGGAATGAGCACCATAATGAATGATATCCTACCAATACAGGTGGAAGGTTTCCCCAAATCAGTACCCTTGCATCCGTGTTGTCGTACAATTTATGGATAAGAGATCATAGTCTTCGTCGCACCAAATTTTTGTTTTTGTATAAAGGAGCTCGAAATGTTTAAAAAAAAGCTTAATCCAAAATACGCCATCTATTGAATTCACCAGCTTCTACGGTCGACGTTTGCGAAACTACCTCACCAAATTTGTGGAAAAAACAGATAATTGCTTCATTTGATTTCTAAGCAATAGTGGTAGACAAACGACGAATTTCAAGATCTCTGAGAAACTTCTGCACCCGAAATCTCTCAAACTCTTGCGACAGTATGAAGTTGCACCAGAACCTGACAACTATTGATCAGCTTATGTCGTAGCTTTTGACGCTATGCAGATAATCATTATTAATATTACCATATTATTATCATTGTTGCTACTATTATGTCATTATATTATTTTAATCTATATGGATAAACAATGGGTGGAACTCTTATAGAACAGCGCTGGTTGAAGCTGCAGGGCTCGGAGGGCATCGTAATACCCACTTGCCAGTCTCAGTAGAAAATTACATACTGTCCGACTACTGCAAGGAATAATGGAAGGACGAATGGTTAAGGTGATTCTACTCAGAAAGTACTATAGTGTATTCTGAATGAGAGTTGAGAGTCTATCATAGTTGATTTGAATATATCCGCTTTCTTCACTGAAATGCCTACACGATGCTGCTCCACAAACCCCTTATTCAGCATATGTTTCGACATCCCCCTCTATTTCAGAGCGAATTGAACAAAGTGGATGGTCCACAATCGCTCGTCTTCACAATACTGGTCTCCGTAGTCACATTAAGTTGAATCTTCTTCAGTAGTGGACCCTTCACTACATCATCGAGGCTCTTGCTTTGGATCACAAATCGACATTGAACCTAGTTACAGTTCCTTATGTTGTTGATATCTCAACATAGTTGTGGTTGTATTTCGCGTAATACCTTGTTTTGAAAAATAATGGGCAGAAAATAAAAGTTAAACAAAGGAAAGCCAGTTTGTCGATTGCAGTTGATATGTGAATGAGAGCAGCTGCATAAAGATTGTGGTTAAATGTTGTTGTAACTGCATTATGACGACACAGGTTTTCCGTTACCCTTTAGCGTTACTATAAAAACAAAATATCGCCATGACGGCGCAGCTCCCCTGTTAACCGTGTATAAACGAAACCTCGTGATTTTCGAAAAGGCAAGTAGGCCGAGTCCATGGAAACGTTTTTGTTTGTGATGTGATGTTTGAACGAATAGAGATGGATTGGTGAACGATTATGGGACTGACTACACTCCTGTGCTCAATAAATTGGATGAACAAGTTCAGAGATTCTTTTTTACATTGTGTAGCGCCAGTAACTGTATAGTTCCTGGCAATTTTTTTCTCATTGGAGCTTTTCGCTCACTCACCCCCACTTTTCGCTTTCCATGTGCACTACCCTGGAATTTGAATTCTGCTTTAAGTTAGATGTTTTGCTTGGCAATTATACTTTTGAAGATATCGTTTTCCATACATGGTATGCGAAAAATTCACGATTCGGTTGAAGTCAGAAGTCCTAGGTGAACAGTAAGATGTTGCAAGGTTGGCCGAGAAAGAAGACGAGCGCGAATTTTTGGGCTCGTTTCTTTCTAAATTTTCTGTGGGAGTCAAACGCTGCTCTTTTTCTACATAGTTTCCCCTTTACCAACGTTTTGGGCATCCATTGAGCTCCTTACATACACCCAAGATTATCAAAGAACGATCCAATTCGATTTATTCACCTTCGCACAACACGTCTCCGAAGGACTAGGTTTTCTTTCGCCTTATACAACGCCCAATCGTTTTCCACGCTTCATTGAGCTCATTGAACATCGTCTGTGCTTCACTAATACTCCTCGGCTGAGCACATAGGTGAAGGTTGTCGCAAGAGTCGAGTAATAGTAAAGAGTCACTAGAAAATTTCTAACCTTGTGTATTTGAGAGTGTAATCAGCTAGAGCTTTTATGGCACTCCTTGTTCAACGAGGGCTGATAAGACCGCTTTTCTTTCGATAATGTTCAACGTTCTTTCGCAGTGTACAAAGATTAGAACATGGAACAGATGGCCGATAGATTCTTACGATTCCAGCAATCGCCTGTATACGTTCCATTGAATGGAGTACCTGCCGGAATTCTGCCAGCTCGCCTGGCTATGGTTCATCATATTTCCTGGTATAACCGACAGGATAATCTCTATGAAGAGTTTGTCATCAGCAAGAAAATCGGGAGGGAGTTATTATGACCATATCGGTATTAGTTGTTGAGTAAGGTAAGCGTAGACAAGGTCCTAGTGAAGGAACCCGTCATTTTTGCAGGTAAAATGTTGTGTGACCTGCAAGAAGAGTATCTAGTTTGTGATCGTCATATTGAAAGAAATCAACTGTTGTGCTTTGTAGTTTCTCAGCTAAGACATTCTCCTCTTCGATAATCACTAAAAGAAAAGGAATTTGGGATTTAAAAGGAAAGAATTTGGATCATTTTTCTCTAAAGGGGATTCTAGGGCATGGTACCGTAGTTGTGGAACAGAAATGATTGTAGTAGAATTTTTCTGATATCAGATTCTAATCATGACGATTGATGTTGGGAGGCCTGTGTTCAGGAGGGCATAATCATTCAGACTAAGTCTTTTTTTCTCTTTAACACCAATCTAGTGGTATATGAGATATGATTCGAACGTACGGAATGAAACATTGAGCTTACTTAGCACACTTTTAAACCCTTCCATGAGAATCTCACAGTCTTCAATCGGGTGCTTATTATTCTAGCATCCGTGTAAAAAGAGGTGTTCGTTAAAAATTTTTGCTCGTGCACAACTTTCTTTCTTAATGGCCGGTAGCAGCTCTTTTTAGTATATAGAATCTTCGCACACGGAAAGAGGTGAACAGATCTACCGCAGAACGATGGAAAGTTGTCAAGAGGGCACTGTGTTTAATTCTTGAGAATATAATCAATCTCCTTGCCATTAGGTGATTCCTTTGTTCAGAGCGTTTACATATTTTCTTAGGAAATGAATATCCATGGAGGAGATGTACTGATCTCACAAGTCCAGCGGGACACTTTTCGTTCTACTTTTTGTCATCTACTCCGAATATCTCCACTTTGTACGTATTTCCACTAGAGTATCCTAATTCAACGTTGAATATTCCGATTTAAAAAATTGTAGAAGGAGTTTTCATTGTGAATTACTATCTTCATCTACTAACAGCGCATCTGAGTCGTTCTCCTCGACTACGCAGGCTGGTGTACAACAGTTGATGGTGCTTTGGAAAGAGATCTTTGGATCATCTTTGGAAAGATTGAATGGAGAAAATGAATGGCCAAGCGATGTAAAAGACTCGAATGAGTCTTCGATGTGACCCATAGAGTAAATGATAAAAGTGACGCTACCGAAATTTCGTGTTGGGAGCTTTTTTCTACGGAAGAGAACTGTCCTGTTGTTTAGCTGGTGCATGTCACTATCATTGTGTTTTGTTTTCTGAGGTGACAAGGCAGCGTGGATCACGGCCTTAAAAAAATCGTGAAGATCGGTGTTTGAGGAGATACTTCTGGCGCTGCGGATGCTTAACAAGGAAATCGTGTCGTGAATGAGGTGTTTTTATATTGGTAGAATGACGTCCTATGCGATCCGAGATTCCATCTCCTCGCAACAGATGCTAACCCGAGATATATCCCATAACCCCGATGAATCTTTCCATTCGTTTACTCGCATCTCGGATTCCTGATGAAAAATGTGAATTGGTCGAACTCCTTTTCAGATCAAAGGACCATGATGGGAAGGACGCCCTTTGCAGTTCACACTAGCCACTCAGGGAACACGCAAAACTCAAGCAAACCATTTTAAGGGTGGGGTGAAACAAAGCCGTGGCGGATAGAACGTGAGCCTCTATACAAGGGTAATCGCGGGTTTGAATCTTACTTGACGTTGCGAGTTTTGTGCATGTCTCAGCACCCTCATGGTTGTAGTCCACATCCTACCCTCCCATGAAGGAAAAATAAGCATTAAATAAAAGTTAAGACGAAGCCCGTAAGGCAGCTCAACTCGTAATAACTATCGGTATACAAGACTGATGTATGAACGTTTGTTACGGTAATACCACACTTCTGGCTGACTTCAGGAGTGATGCATTAATTTAAAGTATAGATTCATTTGAGCAAATGTTATGCTCGTCATGTACTCCTACTTCACATTGACTTCACGCTGCACCTGGCAAGTAGAATTGCATGTTTTTCTGGGGATTTCGCAACTGGTAAATGCAAGAGTCAGTTATCGTCATTACGGAATCCCTGGAGATACAAATATGATAGAATATATATATATATATATATATACATATATATATATACACATCCACGCATACCAACCCAGACCAGATAAGCATGCACCGCGATGCAGCACAGAACACTGGAGGGTCTTTAATCGATCGGCGAAGCTACTCTGCCTCTGTCACCGATCGTGGCGCTCTCCGAACTCAGCACAGTGTCTGCACGAGTGCGCTCTAGCCCACGCCCCTACCAAGGGAGCTCCACCCCACTCCAACTCGTCCGCCGTGAGTACGCTGCTCACTCACTATCCGATTGGGAA